TCGCTTTACTACCTCTCGTGGAGCTCTCGTGGCAAGTGCTGCTGCCATTGCAATGCCAGATGGAGGAGGAGGAGGAAGAAGGTGTGTCAGGAGGGGAGAGGACGGGAGGAGGCGGAGGACGAGTACGAGGAGAGGATAATGATTATGATATGATGATGATGGATGATGATATGTGATTATGAATGATGAATGAGATGATGATGGCGGTGTTGATGTATGAGGATTTATGAATGCTTGATGATGATGATGATGATGATGATGATGCTGATGATGATGATGATTATGCTGATGCTGCTGCTGATGATGATGGTGAAGATGGTGAAGATGATGCAGATGATGATGCTGACTATGATGATTAGGATGATGCTGATGCTGATGATGGTGATGATGATGATGATGATGATGATGATGATGATGATGATGATGATGATGATTATGGTGATGATGCTGCTGATGATGGTGATGGTGGTGATGACGCTGCTGCTGATGATGATGCTGATGATGATGAGGAGGATGAGGATGAGGAGGAGGAGGAGCAGGAACATGAGTAGGAGCAGGTGCAGCAGCAGGAGCAGGAGCAGGAGCATTGTAGCAGGACGTGTGTGTGTGTGTGTGTGTGTGTGTGTGTGTGTGTGTCCGCCAGCGGTGTAGTAGCAGGAGCAGGAGGACCTGGCGGAGGTCGGGGTCGGAGGATGAGAACAAGGAGGAGCAGGAGGAGGGCGATCCTTGCCCCTTCCATGTTCAGTGCGAGAGTGGGCCCTTTTCTGCCGCATGGTTTTCCTATAGGTGTATATGAACGCAGCATATCTCGTAGTCTGATTTGTGATGTGTGATTCCGAACAGAACGTTATGTGTTTGGTTGCTGTCTGATGTTTGTTTGTTCCTGTGCCTTCCCGCTGCTGCGTTGACCTCATGTCAGGATCGACGCTTTGCTCGCGTCGGTCTGAATAGCGCTCTCGCCATGGCGTGAGCCACATTTTTGAATCTGAGTCATCTCTCGTCGCTGTCGCCCTCCCCCCTTCCCCTCCTCCGCCATCTCCTGGTCCTCCAGCCCCTCTCGCTCCTTCAACTCCTGCTCCTGCTGCTGCTGCTGCTGGTGCTCCCCCTTATTGCTCTTCCTCCTCCAATGTGCACAGCTCCCCTTTCTTCTGCGCGCAACACGATGGGTTCATTTTGGGGGTTCCAGGTCTGCTATGATATACGTCGGGGGATAGTGAAAAGTCGGCGCCATGGGAAAGGGATGGGCGGACGGGATCGGATGTCAGATATGGCGCGAGCGCGCAGAGTTTGTCATCCTCCTTTCTCCTTCCTAACCCTCTCTGATAGTGTTCCTCCCTCCCTCTCTTTCTCGCCCCCTCGACCTCGAAAGCTGGTCAGACTGATTTCTCAGATCCATCCCCCAGGGTTTACCCTGACCAGCGTATCATCCCATATCGGGTTATGACGGCTCCAGAGCCCGAGGCGAACCCCCAGAGGCCGACATCGAGGAACCACATAGGACGCTGAGTCCCTAAGTGGGGTGCCTATTTTCTCTGGGCACCCCTGCGCAGTCCTCCTGACCCCACCCCTCGCGCCATCTCGCATCATCTATCACACATCCACGCCCTTGTTCAGGAGGAGGAGGAGGAGGCGGAGGGCGAGGAGGAGGAGGAGGAGGAGGAGGAGGAGGAGGATAATGAGAATCATAACATGCAGGAGGAGGAGGAGGAGGAGGAGGCGGATAATGATACAGAAGGGGATGAGGATGAGGAGGAGGAGGAGGAGGAGGAAGAGAAGGGGGACGAGGGTGAGGAAGAGGAGACAGGACATGGAGGAGGAGGAAGAGGAGGAGGACGAGGAGGAGAAGGAGGAGGAGGAGGAGGAGGAGGAGGAGGAGGAGGCGGATGAGCATGATGATGACGACGCAGCCCAGTGGCGGGTTCGCTTTCTTGTGTTTCTCCACCATGTTGCCCCTGATCGGAGCGGCGCGACCCTGAGGTGACCCGTGCAGGTATTATGTCGCCCAGGTGCTTGCTTCTTGTTTTGGCTCCCATCCATGGTGGTTGACGCAGCGTCAACTGCGGTGGGTTGCCATCGAAAGGTGGCGCCCGCTGTGTACGTTGACCGCGCACGCGTCGTCCACCACCCATGGATTTGCCTGCGCGCTACCGTGCGTTGGCTGTCGCGGTCGCCCGCGGTCAGCTTGGTTGTTTGGATTGGCCTTTTGCTCGTACGCGCGCTGCCTTCGCGCTACTTGCGCCTGAGCGGCGCTCTGCCGTGTTCGCTGCTCGCCGGGCGGCGGCGCTGGTCTCGCCAGTGCCCGTCTCGCGCCGCCGTGTGCTGGCTGGTCTGGCAGCCTTGCAGTGCGTCACTTTCTTTCGGCTCCTAGAGCCTGGCTGCTGTAGCGCATCAGCTACTGGCGTCGAGTTACGCTCCGCGGGATGCTTGGCCGCTGCAGTTTCCCGGCGAATTAGCACCAGACTGCTGTTGGCGCTTCAGCTCCTGGCGTCGAGCTACGCTCCGCGGGATGCTTGTTGGCCGCTGCACTTTGGCATTGCAGTGCCTCATCTTTTCACCACTTGCACCTGCCTGCGTGGCCGTGGCTGACCCTTTTCATCACGGCGCGTTCGATGAAGTTCGTCCACAATTGGCACTGCCATGTACCTTCCGTGCCTGAGGTTCCTCTGCGCCGTCAACTTAAAACAACATGTGTGCGTATGTATACATACGCGTCCGTGCGAGAGCGCGCGTGTGTGTGTGTTTTGTGTGTGTGTGTGTTGTGTGTGTGTGTTTGTGTGTGTGTGTGTGTTGCGTGTGTGTGTGTGTGTGTGTGTGTGTGTGTGGGTGTGTGCGTGTTTGTGTGTGCGTGTGTTTGTGTATGTGTGTGTGTGTGGGTGTGTGTGTGTGTGTGTGCGTGCGTGCGTGCGTGCGTGCGCGTGTGCGTTTGTGTGAGAGAGTGTTTTGTTGCAGTGTGCGTGTGTGTGTGTGTGTGTGTGTGTGTGTGTGTCTGTGTGTGAATGTGAGTGTGTGTGTGTGTGTGCGCGTGCGCGTGCGTGTATGTGTGTGCGTGCGTTTGTGAATGTATGTGTGTGTGTGTGCGTGTGTGCGTGCGTGCGTGCGTGCGTGCCGTGCGTTGTGTGTTTGTGTGTGTGTGGTGTGTGTGTGTTTGTGTATGTTTGTGTGTGTGTGGTGTGGTGCATGTGGGTGCGTGGCTATGTGGTTGTGGTGTATCGTTTTCCCGCCCCCCCTCCCCCGCCTTTTCCCCTCCCCCCCGCCCCCCCCTTCCCCCTCCTTCCTTCCGGAATTTCGCAATCTGAATACTACTCTCCTCTCTCCCCTGATGACGTCGGGAAGATGTTCGGCCCCCCTCCGCGTATTGTTTTCTACACGCAGGATTCCCGGGAGTTGGGTTTTCGTTTTCTTGTTTGTGTCAAACTGTTGCTCCCGCTGAGGCGCTGGCCTCATTTTCGGGCTTCCGCTCGTTCCGAATCGTGCTCCCGCTGCAGCGCTGGCCTCATTTCCACGTTGCCGCTCGTTCCGAATCGTGCTCCCGATGCAGCGCTAGCCTCATTTCCGCGCTTCCGCTCGTTCCGAATCGTGCTCCTGCTGCAGCGCTGGTGTCATTATTAATCGCTTCGCTCATTCCGCCAGCCCTGGAGCGCTATTTGGGGCCTCTTGGGGCCGTCTTGGGGGCTTCTTGGGGGCTTCTTGGGAGCGTGTTGGGGCTCCTTGGCGGCGTATTGGGCTCCCCTGGGGCCTCTTGGGGGGCTCTTGGGGGGCCCCTTGGGGCGGGAGGGGGGGTAGTCGTTGGCAGCCCCCCCCTCGGAGGCCACGATCCTCGTGATGGGTGGCGAAAAATAGCCTCCCCCCTGAGGATCGCCCGGGGGTCAGCCGGGGATCGGCCGGGGCACTTTTCGTCCGGGGCCCCCCAGGGGCCGCCCCGCGCGCGCGAACTAGAAATATTGTTAAGTAGTTACCGGAGACCTTAGCACGCCTCTGGCCCGTTGGGCCGGCGAATTGCTGCAGCGCTGGTGTCATTATTGTAGTGGCCTTCGGCCAGTGCCGCCGATCCGGGTCGCTCGGGGTTATTCTCCAGACGCAGACATTATGGGCGCACACTCAAACGCACACACGCAGTCACACCACCCAACCCGCGCCGCAGACATGGGGGCCTGTCAGGGCGTCCTGGGGGGCTTCTCGGAGACTTTTGGGGGCCCTTTTGGGAGCTCTTAGGCGTCTGGGGGCGTTTTTGGGGGCATTTTAGGGGCCTGTCAGGGCGTCCTGGGGCGCTTCTTGGAGGCTTTTGGGGGCCCTCTTGGGAGCTCTTGGGGCCTACGCTTTTTCCGCTCGTCCCTCTTTGGGGTCTTCTTGGGGACGCTTGGGGGGGCTTTTGGGCCGTCACCCCGCATCCGCCGGAAACTCGCAAACCCCCCCCCCCATCCCCCCTTCCTGGCAGAGCCACCCCGGCAACCCCCCCAGAGGCTGAGGCTCAGCCTCGAGGCTGTAGCTGAGACTCCTTGAAACTCACACGCCGGATCGGCGGATTTCCAATGCCATGCCACGGCATGCAATGCAATGCTATATGGTGTGCCGCTGTGCGATGCCATGCCTTCAGCTGCAATGCTAGGATATGCAGTGCTTGACTACGCAGTGCCACGCCATGCTATGCCATGCCATGCTACGCTTTGATCTTCAACGCCCTGCTATGCCAAGGTCTGTTCTGTGCCGCTGTGCGATGCCATTGTTTGCGTTGCAATGCTTTGTGTTGCAATTCTTCACTACGCAACGCCACGCCATGCTATGACATACTACTCGCTGCCGTGTTCTTCTACGTTCTGCTATGCCGTGCTCTACGATGCATCGCGCACCCTCTCGGGATCATTGCCCTGCTCGACATCCGACTGTACGAATAGAGAGGAGGTCTACGCCATGGTAATGGATGGGAGGGAGGCGTAGGACGTCAGATATGACGCGAGCGCACCTGGCTTGACCACCCCCCCTCCCCCCTCCCCATCCTCCACCCTCTCCCCATCCACTGGGCCCATCCTTCCCCCCTTGCCCTCCCTCCCCGTCTCCTCCCCCCCTCTTTCCCCTCCCCCCCCCCCCCCCTCCCCCCGTCCTCCCCCCCCCTCTTCCCTCCCCCCCACCCCGCCCTCCCCGTCCACGGGTGCTCGTCCTTCCCGCCTCTGCCCGCTGCAGGCTGCGGAGCGCTCCCGGGCATCGAGCCCTGCGGCGCCCTCGGCCCGGCGGGGGGCGCGGGCGAGCTGGCCGGGCTGCCCGCCCGGGGCGCGGCCTGCGCCGCGCTCTTGCGCGGCGCGCCGCTGGCGTGCTCCCTGCGCATCCGCCGCGGCGGCCCTGGCGCGCTCTAAGGGGGCCTCCTGGGGCGCTCCTGGGGAGCTCCTGCAGGGGTTCCTCCTCCTCCTCCTCCTCCTCCTCCTCCTCCTCCTCCTCCGTCTCCTACTCCTCCTCCCTCCCTCCCTCCCTCCCTCCCTCACTCACTCCCGCCCACCTTCCCTCCTTCCTCTCTCCTTCCCTCCTTCCCCCTCTCGTTGGCGCGCGCCGGAGGGGGGGGGGGGGGAGTGAGGAAGTGCGGGCCTTCTCAGAAGGCTCGGACATTTCCCAGCCTTCTGAGAAGTTCCGTAAGCTTTCCCCGGAAGCGCAGAACACTTCTCAGAGGGCGCGAGGGTTTCTGAGAATTCCGCCGCCTTCTGAAGATGCCTTTCTCCTTCCCATATCCCCCCCCTCGCTCGCCGCCGATCCTGTTCCTCCTCCTGTTCCTCCTCCTGTTCCTCCTTCTCCTCCTGCTCCTGCTCCTCCTCCTCCTCCTCCTCCTCCTCCTCCTCCTCCTCCTCCTCCTCCTCCTCCTCATACTCCTTTTCCTGCTCCTTTTCCTGCTCCTTGCGTCCTTGCTCCTGCTCCTGCTCCGCTCCTGCTCCTCCCCTCCTCCTGCTCCTCCTCCTCCTCCCTCCTCCTCCTCCTCCTCTCCTCCTCCTCCTCCTCCTCCTCCTCCTGTTGATGATCGCAGGAAGGTATCCTGAGGCTGCCTCCCCCGCCCAGCAGCGGTCGCTGCTGGGGGGGGGGTCGATCGGCTCCCCGGCGGCGCAGTGCCACCAGGGAGGGCGGACAAAAACGAGCAGATAATGATCCTCGCCCTGGCCCTCCTCCTCCTCCTTCCCTTCCCTTTCCCCCCTCCCCCCCTCCTCCTCCTCCTCCTCCTCCCTGCTCCTCCTCCTCCTCCTCCCTTCTCCTCCGCTCTCCTCCTCCTCTCTCCTCCTCTCCCCTCCTCCTCCTCCTCCTCCTCCTCCTCCTCCTCCCTCCTCACCCCCCCTCCTCCTCTCCTCCTCCCCCCTCCACAATTACACAATGTGAAAATACTCTCCCACTTCCCCTGATGGCGTCCCGAAGATGGCCGACCCCCCCCGCGTACTGCTTTTTAACACACAGGATTCCCGGGAAACGGGTTTTCGCTTGCGTTTTTTTTTTTTTTTTTTCAAAGTGCTGCTCTCGATGAGGCGCCGGCCTCATTTCTGCTCCCGAATCGTTCCGAATCGTGCTCCCGCTGCAGCGTGGGCCTCATTTTCGGATCGGTGTTTGGCCTCCGTCGTTCAGAATGGCGTTCTCGCCCCAGCGCGGGCCTCTTTCCTCGCGCGCCATCCCGCCACCACACCACCAACCACCACCACCACCACAACCCCACCACCACCACCACCACCACCACCAACCACCACCACACCCACCACCACCACACGCACCACCACACCACCACCACCACCACCACCACCACCACCCCCACCACACCACCACCATACCACCACCACCACACCACCAACCACCACACCACCACCACCACCACCACCACCACCACCACCACCACCACCACCACCACCACCACCACCACCACCCCACCACCACCACCACCACCACCACCACCACCACCACCACCACCACCACCACCACCACCACCACCACCACCACCACCACCACCACCACCACCACCACCACCTCCACCACCACCACCACCACCACCACCACCACCACCACCACCACCACCACCACCACCACGCACACACGCACGCACGCACGCACGCACGCGTACCACCACCCACTACGCACGCGCGCGCGGAGCCACAGGTCCGCTACGACACGCGTCCGCGGATAGAGAAAATCAGCACCATGGTAAGGGATGGGAGGGAGGGGTAGGACGTCAGATATGACGCGAGCGCACCTAGCTTGTCCTCTCCCCTCTCTCCTCCTCCTCCTCCTCCTCCTCCTCCTCCTCCTCCTCCTTCTCCTCCTCCTCCTCCGCCTTCTCCTCCTCCTCCTCCTCCTCCTCCTCCTCCTCCTCTTCCTCCTCCTCCTCCTCCTCGTACGCCCAGCCCACCCGATCCAGCACCCACCAGAGCAGCGCAAGACGGTGAAAACATGGTGTTGGTGGGCCTGGCATTGGACATTGCACTCGTCGAGGGTCTTGGTGCACTGTCTGCCTCCTCCGCTACCGATACAGTGAACACAGCACAAACACACACCTCCCCCGCCTCCTCCGGCACCGAAGTGTTCAAGGAAGAGGTGAAGAGATCATGAGGGGGGCACGCCGGGGAGGGGGTGGACAGGCTCTTACTCTGCTGCCCGAGGCCAGCGTAAGCAATCTGGTGACACGATCGCTCTGGCTGGGTGGCGGGATAGTGCATTATTCGAATGTCTTGCCTGTTGGCCACGGTACTCTGGGTCTGATTCGCGGCTGGTAGCAGTGCAAGCGGTGAGCGGCGGAGGTGAGGGGAGTGGCGGAGAGGAGGGGAGTGGCGGAGGGGAGGGGGCTGAACAAGACGGAGGTCGTTGGCACAAACATGACTCGTAGGACATGGTGTTGGCGGGCCTGGTGCTGGACATTGTCCTTGTTGAGGGTCTTGGTGCACTCTCTGCCTCCTCCGCTACCGCTACAATGTGAACCGCGCGCAGCCTTCCCGCCTCCTCCGGCCCTGAAGTGCAAAGGGGAGAGGCAGAGAGGCCGTGAGGGAGGCACGCCGATGGCGGCGATCCATGTGCCTGAATGGTGATGCGGGCTCTGATCCCCAAGAGTTCTGTATGTCGGGCGTGTCCCTCTACAGGAGGAGAATCCAAGTTAGTTACAATGGTTCCTGGGGGCGATATCTGGATTAATTTTGACACCGCTTTGGAGTATTTTTTCTAGTATTTTTCAGTTTTGGTCTCAAAAATGCGCCTGTAGGGGGACATGCCCGACCTGACCCAATAGCTGGCGTGGGCACAACAATCTCTTGCCCCACCGCTTCCAGAGAGCTCCGGCCAGGGCCCGCAGCGACAACAGGGACGTCGAAACACTTCTCCTCCTCTCGGGGGCGGCAAAGAGAGGGGTGAGTCCTCTACAGGGGGGAACATGCAAAAATAGTAAAAAATGGTCAGGAGATGATCTTTGTACCATTTTTGGTGATTTTTGAATGTTTTTTGTTGCATTTTATATTTTCGTCCAGAATCCACCTGCAGGAGGACATGCCCGACCTGAGACTGGGGGGTGATCTCATGGCGTGGGCCATGATATTTCCCCAGATTTCATGGCGCCTCTTCTCATTTTATTACGTTCCTGCCCCCCCCCCCCCCCTGGGCCGCCGGCCATGCCGCCGGCCATGCCGCCGGCCATGCCGCCGGCCATGCCGCCGGCCATGATTTGCACCCCCCTCTCTTGGACGCCCTCCTCTCGGCCGCCCCCGATCCCCGCCATCCTCCTCCAGAGGTCGAAGACCTTCCCAGCCTCGGTCCTCGGTCCTCCGCTCCCCGTTCTGCTCGATCCTCCTGGTCCTCCCCCGTAGGGAGCTCAGGGCCGCCGCGGCGCTGTCAGCTTCCAGAGCATGGGGCAGGAGCAGCCAGTATGGCCCCTGAGCCAGAGCTGCGAGGCACTCGACTCGTAGCCTCGGACGGGGCTAGGATGAAGTCGGGCCTGTCCCTCTACAGGGGGGGAGTTCACAAATAGTCAACAAAAATATCCTGGCGAAGGACCCAAGCATATGCAATTGTGAGTACCGCAGTTGTGAATATCTGCTTCGGTGGAGCCCCCTACGGGGCCACGAAACGTACGAGGGGTGTGCCGAAATGGGTGTGCGGGACGCATGCGGGCACACCCACTGGGGCCTTCGGTGGAGCTCCCTATGGGACCACAAAACGCGCGAGGGGTCACGAAACGCGTGAGGGGTGTGCCGAAATGAACGTGCGGGACGCATGCGGGCACACCCACTGGGGCCTTCGGCTGAGCTCCCTTTGGGGCCACGAACCGTGTGAAGGGTATGCCGAAATGGGTGTGCGGGACGCATGCGGGCGGCAGCACTGGGACCTTCGGTGGAGCCCCTCTACGGGGCCACGAAACGTGCGAGGGGTGTGCCGAAATGGGTGTGCGGGACGCATGCGGGCACACCCATTGGGGCCTTCGGTGGAGCTCCCTAAGGGGCCACGAAACGTGTGAAGGGTATGCCGAAATGGGTGTGCGGGACGCATTCCCTATGGGGCCACGAAGCGCGTGAGGGGTGTGCCGAAATGGGTGTGCGGAACGCATGCGGGCGGCAACACTCTGGGGCCTTCGGTGAAGCTCCGTATGGGGCCACGAAACGTGTGAGGGGTGTGCCGAAATGAATGTGCGGGACGCATGTGGGCGGCAGCACTGGGGCCTTCGGCGGAGCTCCTATGGGGCCACGAAACGTGTGAGGGGTGTGCCGAATTGTGTGTGGGTGACGCATGCGGGCGGCAGCACTGGGGCCTTCGGCGGAGCTCCTATGGGGCCACGAAACGTGTGAGGGGTGTGCCGAATTGGATGTGGGTGACGCATGCGGGCGGCAGCACTGGGGCCTTCGGCGGAGCTCCCTATGGGGCCACGAAACGTGTGAGGGGTGTGCCGAATTGGGTGTGGGTGACGCATGCGGGCGGCAGCACTGGGGCCTTCGGCTGAGCTCCTATGGGGCCACGAAACGTGTGAGGGGTGTGCCGAATGGGTGTGGGTGACGCATGCGGGCGGCAGCACTGGGGCCTTCGGCGGAGCTCCTATGGGGCCACGAAACGTGTGAGGGGTGTGCCGAATTGGGTGTGGGTGACGCATGCGGGCGGCAGCACTGGGGCCTTCGGCGGAGCTCCTATGGGGCTACGAAACGCTGTACTGGGTGGGTGAAACGCAGGGAAGAGGGGGAGGAGGGAGGAGGAGGGGGAGGAGGAGGAGAGGAGGGGAGAGGAGAGGAGAGGAGGACGCGGGGACCGTCTCTTCAAAACAAGGACCCAACACCACAGGATGGTTGGGAATAATCAGGGGATTTTTTATTAGAATTAGCCTGGCGAAGAACCCAACCATATGCAGTTGTCAGTACCGCAGCTGCGGGTTTCATCTTCAATGGAATTCCCCATAGGATTACGGAACGTGTGAGGGGTGTGCCGAGATGGGTGCCACTGGGGCATTCGGCGAAGCTCCCTATGGGGACATGAAACACGCGCGGGGCGTGCCGACATGGGTGGCGGAAACGCATGTGCGGGCCGCCACTGGGGCCTCCAGTGGAGCTCCCTATGGGTCCCCGAAACATGATGCTGCTGCGGGGGGGGGGCCGGGATGGGTGGCGGAGACGCATGTAAGCGCCGCTACTGGGGCCTTCGGTGGAGCTCCCCATGGGGCCACGAAGCGCGTGAGGGGTGTACTGGGATGTGTGGCGGGGACGCATGTGAGCGCCGCCACTGGGGCCTTCGGTGCAGCTCCCTATGGGGCCACGAAACGTGTGAGGGGTGTGCCGAATTGGGTGCGGGTGGTGACGCATGCGGGCGGTGCCACTGGGGCCTTCGGTGGAGCTCCCTATGGGGCCACGAAACCTGTTGTTGTGAGGGGCGTGCCGGGATGGGTGGCGGGGACGCATGTGAGCGCGGCCGCTGGGGCCTTCGGTGGAGCTCCCTATGGGGCCACGAAACGTGTGAGGGGTGTGCCGAATTGGGGGGGTGTGGGTGACGCATGTGAGCGCCGCCACTGGGGCCTCCGGTGGATGATAGGGCTACGAAACCTGTCAGGGATGTGCCGAAATGGGTGTGCGGGACGCATGCGCATGTGAGCGCCGCCACTGGGGCCTTCGGTGGAGCTCCCTATGGAGCCACGAAGCGTGTGAGGGGTGTGCCGAAATGGGTGTGGATGACGCATGCGGGCGCGGGCACTGGGGCCTTCGGTGGAGCTCCCTATGGAGCCACGAAACGTGTGAGGGGTGTGCCGAAATGGGTGTGGGTGACGCATGCGGGCGCGGGCACTGGAGCCTTCGGCGGAGCTCCCTATGGAGCCACGAAGCGTGTGAGGGGTGTGCCGAAATGGGTGTGGGTGACGCATGCGGGCGCGGGCACTGGGGCCTTCGGTGGAGCTCCCTATCGAAACCGAAATGGGTGTGGCTGACGCATGCGGGCGCGGGATGGGGCCTTCAGCTCCCTATGGGGCCACGAACGTGTGAGGGGTGTGCCGAAATGGGTGTGGTGACGCATGCGGGCGCGGGCACTGGGGCCTTCGGTGGAGCTCCCTATGGAGCCACGAAACGTGTGAGGGGTGTGCCGAAATGGGTGTGGGTGACGCATGCGGGCGCGGGCACTGGGGCCTTCGGTGGAGCTCCCTATGGAGCCACGAAACGTGTGAGGGGTGTGCCGAAATGGGTGTGGGTGACGCATGCGGGCGCGGGCACTGGGGCCTTCGGTGGAGCTCCCTATGGAGCCACGAAACGTGTGAGGGGTGTGCCGATGGGTGTGGACGCATGCGGGCGCGGGCACTGGGGCCTTCGTGGAGCTCCCTATGGAGCCACGAAACGTGTGAGGGGTGGTGCCGAAATGGGTGTGGGTGACGCATGCGGGCGCGGGCACTGGGGCCTTCGGTGGAGCTCCCTATGGAGCCACGAAGCGTGTGAGGGGTGTGCCGAAAGGTGCGGGCGCGGGCACTGGGGCCTTCGGTGGAGCTCCCTATGGGCCACGAAAAAATGGGTGTGGGTGACGCATGCGGGCGCGGGCCTGGGGCCTTCGGTGGAGCTCCCTATGGAGCCACGAAACGTGTGAGGGGTGTGCCGAAATGGGTGTGGGTGACGCATGCGGGCGCGGGCACTGGGGCCTTCGGTGGAGCTCCCTATGGAGCCACGAAACGTGTGAGGGGTGTGCCGAAATGGGTGTGGGTGACGCATGCGGGCGCGGGCACTGGGGCCTTCGGTGGAGCTCCCTATGGAGCCACGAAGCGTGTGAGGGGTGTGCCGAAATGGGTGTGGGTGACGCATGCGGGCGCGGGCACTGGGGCCTTCGGTGGAGCTCCCTATGGAGCCACGAAACGGTGTACTGGGTGGGTGAAGAGGAGAGGAGGAGAGGAGGGGAGGAGAGGAGGAGAGGAGAGGAGGCGGAGGAGGAGAGGAGGAAGGAGACGCGGGGCACCGTCTCTTCAAAACGAGGACCCAACACCACAGGATGGTTGGGAAAAATGAAAACACCAAAAGATATGCCACTTTTGCATTTGTTTGGGGCCATTTCATTTTTCGCCCAAAATCCGCCTGTACGGGCATATGCCCGACCTAAGGCCAGGACGAGGATGCATCTGTTCCAGAGCGCTCCGGCACGCTCGCAGAGCGTTCTGGAACGCTCCGAGAAGGCCGCTGCGCCCGAGACATCCTTCAGAGCCGCCCGATCTCAGAGATTCTCGATCTATCCGTGTTGAGCCAAAAGGGGGTCCAGCGACAACGGGGTGGTGCAATAGATTTGGTGCAATAGATTTGTGGAGTTGCAATACATGTGGGGCGTGCAATGCATGCCGGGGTGCAAATTGATAGCTGGGCTTGCGCGTGCAATACATTACTTGCAATACAATGCAATACAATGCAATCCAATTCTCCGGCGCAGTACATATGCAGTACAGTTGCCCCTGCACCACCCCCTTTCAGCTGGACCCCCTTTTGCCTCACCCAAATTCATCCTCATCCGAATGGAGTTTTTTGTGTGTAAAAAAACGAGCGCATAGCGCGCGTTGTGTGGCCTCCAACCCACCTGCCCACCCATTAGATAACATAACGCCCTCCGCTTCACCCACCCACGTTGCAGCATCCCCTCGTGTCTGGCGCGCAGGCATGCTGCTCGTGGTGCGTGCGCAACGTGTTGTGCCGTGTGCCAGCGAACCCGCCCAGCCACACAACGCGCGTGAATTATGTGGCTCCACCCAAAAAACTTGAGCTCATGTGTTCTCGTCCTGGCTTCTCGGGCCGGACGAAAGGGGGGGATTGGGACAGGGGGGGGTAACGAAATTTGCTGCATGCAGTTGGTTTCGGCCCCACCGAGGGGCCCATTCCTCGATACATAGCCGCCTCTGGCGCCGGGAGGCGCCGGGAAAATCAGCTGCGTGAGCTGATTCTCAAACCCCCCCTTTGCTATCTCCCCCTGTCGCCCGACCCGAGCTTCGTGTTACCCGAGCTGCAAGGCACTCGGCTCGTGTACAGCGCAGCCCCCCGGCCTCGCCCTGCGCCGCCCGGCCCACTGCGCGGCGCCCGGCCCCGGCGCTCACCGGCCCCGCCGCGCACGCGGGGGGCACGAAAGCGAGGGTTAAGTCGGGCGCGTCCCCCTACAGGGGGATTTTCGACGACAAGTGAAAAATATGCAAAAATGCCCCACAATGGTCAAAAGATATTCAACAAACAGTCCCCATATTATTTTTTACAATTTTTTGACGATTTTGGGTTTTTGTTTGTTTTTCAACGGAAATCCCCCTGTAGGGGGACAGGCCCGACTTAAAGCAAGGGGGGAGGCCCGGGCTCCAAGAGGGCGGGCGGGGGGTCCGAGCGGTCGGGGCCGCCACGGGAGGGCCCAGAGGGGCCCTCGCAGTCTGGGAGGGCCTCCGAGTGGCCTCCTCCTCCTCCTCCTCC